ACATAACATTCGTAGCCAGTGTGATGACAGACACAACGATCGTGGCTGTCAGCACGATTTCAGTTTATGTAGCTGCAGCACCCACAGCAGCCAGTTTTCAAAGAAAAAAAGTATGTATTAATCAAAACATCTAACACACGACTTAGCAACCAGTGCCTGATGAAGAACTGGTAAATTTTGTCGTCGATGTACGTGTCCCAATTGATTTAGTCGTGTAAGGCTTCATATTCGTTGTACAAGGAGCCTTTGTGCCAGGTGCAGCCGTCGTGGTAGCAGGGGTACTGCTGGTGGTGCTGTGTGTGGCCGTGGTGGTGTTGGGTGCCACTGTGGTAGTTACAGGAGCAGCCATGCTGGTAGCAGGGGTACTGGTGGTGGTAAAGCTACGGTGGTGCTGGGTGCTCTTGTGCTTGTAACAGAAGAAGCCGTCGTGGTAGCAGGTGTATTGGTGGTACTGTGTGACGCCGTGGTGATGCTGGGATCAGTCGAGGTAGTCACAGGAGTAGCCGAAGATACGTACTAAACCTAGTTCTACATGTGGATTAGTCGAGAGTATAATTCTTGTAGTGCAACCTCTTGTCCAGATTGACCAGTTCTTTTTGTTGAGTTGGGAGCGCGACTACTTATTTACACCTGATCTACGTAAGACAAGAATACACCCATGGTCGCTGGTTCAGTCCCAGGTTTCCTCAATTCCTTGGCATCGACTGCAGACAGCCTAGTTAGGGTCGAGTCAGAACCTTCCCTTCCACTCATTCGCGCTAGCTCGTTGGATAATGCGCACAAATTGATATCAAACGGCACTTGCTAAAAGAATTTCTCAAAGGAATTATTGTGCACGACCTTGCATTTATTCACGCAACACACAACCGCTGAGCTAAATATGAATGAACATTACGTTCTGTACGACTGTATCTTGGATGAGCAGATATGCACGAGAGGTGTAACGTTCGGGGTGTTTCAGCCTGATAACAGATGTCAGCTTGATCCAGGTAGCAAAAATCCGATCCATCGAAGGCGCTCAATTCATATATCCATTCGAGTAGAATGGTGACAAGAACTGGTCAAACCCTAACCACATTTTTCCTCAACAAAAATGGTGTTGGCTATATTTTCTACTTTTTGCGTCGTTTTCTCCACTTTATGAACCACTAGCAGGGCGAGAGGAACAAGTAATTGGGATTCATTTAGTGACGTATACACGTTGTACGGATTGGAACCGTAGTAGTTGTGCAAAAAGCAGAGGTTGAGCACACGGGTAAAAAATTATCAACATAACATTCGTAGCCAGTGTGATGACAGACACAACGATCGTGGCTGTCAGCACGATTTCAGTTTATGTAGCTGCAGCACCCACAGCAGCCAGTTTTCAAAGAAAAAAAGTATGTATTAATCAAAACATCTAACACACGACTTAGCAACCAGTGCCTGATGAAGAACTGGTAAATTTTGTCGTCGATGTACGTGTCCCAATTGATTTAGTCGTGTAAGGCTTCATATTCGTTGTACAAGGAGCCTTTGTGCCAGGTGCAGCCGTCGTGGTAGCAGGGGTACTGCTGGTGGTGCTGTGTGTGGCCGTGGTGGTGTTGGGTGCCACTGTGGTAGTTACAGGAGCAGCCATGCTGGTAGCAGGGGTACTGGTGGTGGTAAAGCTACGGTGGTGCTGGGTGCTCTTGTGCTTGTCACAGGAGCATCCGTCGTGGTAGCAGGCGTATTGGTGGTACTGGGTGAGTTCGTGGTGATATACGAGAGGTGTAACGTTCGGGGTGGCCATGTTTCAGCCTAGGGGAGTTCTGACTCGATCCTAACTAGGCTGTCTGAAGTCGATGCCAAGGACTTACCAGGAACTCTGGAACTGAATCAGCAACTATGGGTGTATGCTTGTCCTACTTAGTTCAGGTGTAAATAAGTAGTTGCGCTCCCAACTCAGCAAAAAGAACTGGTCAATCTGGACACGAGGTTGCAGTACAAGAATTATACTCTCGACTAATCCACATGTAGAACTACGCACCGTCGTCAATTTCTTGTCAAAAGAACACATGGAAAAGAGGTAGCTCGACAACCTTGATCGAATTGATGCCACGATTCCGCTGCTAGGCGATAAAACTGGAATGTTAGAGCCCACGGTGTGATAGTGACGCAACTCGATGGAATTGTTGAATATTTTTACTGTTGTACACACATTGCCTTGAAGAATGAACTCACAAGCTAGTACTACGTAGTATTGTCAATTCGATTCGAAATTGGAGTGGGGTACCCAATTGAATGAGCAGCAAATCGGCAGTCAATCGATCGATCAATCAACATCCAGAAGACTAATCAAGTGTGTGAATAAAACTAGTGTGACACTGGACGATTTTTACATACAAAAGTCAGTACAAAGAATCCATCGATGGAGTTGGCGAACCAGCACAAAAGTCCAGATTTGGGGTAGAAGGACAATAAAAGGTCTAGCATTCCGTGCGGTGGATACACTAGGTAAAGGAGTACTTCGAAGTCGGTGTGTACATACTTCGCATTATGTATCGTATGGTCTCTGAATAGGGACTAACGATATTGATGAATGGGGCGATCGCTTTTCATCATTCTCAAATTGCCTCGCAAAAGACACCCAAACCTACCCATGGTTACAATTCGCTACATCGTCTCGACCACCGTACTCACTAGCCTTTTGGTATCCACCAGTGCAGCCGATGGCGCAACATCCACTTTCATTCAACCCTTGCTCATCAAATCTCCTTCCATCATCACCAAACCTCCTTACATCATCACCAAACCTCCTTGCATCGTCACCAAACCTCCTTGCATCATCACCAAACCTCCTATCATCATCTCCAAACCTTGCACCACCACGGCTTCCCCTGGCACCATCACGACAGCCCCCGGCACCATCACTGCAGCCCCCGGCACCACCACCAATACGCCTGTTACTACAACGGCTACTCCTGTGGCTACCACAACTGATCCCAGCACCACCACGGCCTCACCCAGTACCACCAATACGCCTGCTACCACGACAGCTTCTCCTGTGACTAGCATATCGGCACCCAGCACCACCCCAACGGCTCCAGGCACCACCACGGCGGTTACCGGCACCACGACCAACGCTCCTTGCACTACAACATCGGCTCCCGCCACCATCACCAATTCGCCTGCTACCACAACGGCTACTCCTGTGACTACCACGACTTATCCCAGCACCATCACGGCGTCACCCAGTACCACCAATTCGCCTGCTACGACGGCTGCTCCTGTCATTAGCACATCGGCACCCAGTACCACCACAGCTGCATCCAGCACCACCCCAACGGCCCCAGGCACCACCCCAACGGCCCCAGGCACCACCTCGACAGTTCCTGACACCACCACCAATTTGCCTGTTATCACGACGGCTGCACCTGGCACCACCAATAAGCCACGTCCATCGACGACAAAATTTTTGCGCACGACCAGTTCTCCAATAGGCTCTAGTTTCTAAGTCGGTGTTTGATGTTTTGATTAATGCATACTTTTTTTCTTTGAGAACTGAATGCTTTGGGTGCTGCAGCTACATGTATACGTATAGGTGGCATCCGACATCAAACCGACAAATTTGAAGTCGGTGATTGGATAACCGACAAATGATTGAATTTTGATTGGTCAGTTATTTTTTAGACAATCCGAATATATTGAGCGATGGGGTTGTCGTGCGAGCAACATATCGCTCACATTGAACATATACAGCGTGCTATTGGCTGAAAACACAGGCGTATCGACATACACACCAAGACTTTGACACAGCATCTCCTAAACAACCATGATCTCGACTCAGCATCCCAAGAACAGAAATAAGTCGAGCAGAGCTCGACAAACAAGGTAACGAGTTTTGACTACTACGAGTACAGAGAAGTACCTGCTGTGCTTTGTGTTTGGATGATGCACAGTACAGTGCATCCATAAACAACATAAATAGACAGGCCGTACGATCGTCTACCGACCCACATGGCATGTTCATCTCTGTGAATCCGTAGGAACGCAGTGTTGGCAGGGGCACTGGACTGGGGCACTGGACTGGGGCACGAAGGAGTTTTTGTTCCGGTGGTTGCGTTAAACAACCTCATTAGTAACAACTTACTGACACACCAAGTCGCACACTCGGAGTTATGACGATCAGTACATATGACATACTTATCGACCTTGTCAGTGAAACTATAACTTACATCACTCGGGGCTATTTATCGCTGAGCCGACACCACTGAAGCTTGCCAACCTGTCGTCCCTGACACCGTGATCACGTTGACTATGCAGTCACCAGGCGATATGGCCGTACCACAGTTGGGACGTGTTGCCGATGGTAAATTCACAAATGATCAGTACACTGCAGCACGCTGACCGTGGTGTGGCCACTAAAGCGAGGGGTCGCGTCACTAACTCGAAATTGGTGACGCGACCCAAGAGGACGTCGACCATGCCACAATCTTTTTTCCAACGTACCGCGTATCTTGATTATGGTATCTTTAACTGTACCCTTTCTAGATTCCTCGTTGGAAATGCAAGCCATTGCAACATCCCTGGAGGTGAGAGGATGTCAGTCCCCATGCCTTCATTGGACACATCAAGAACTGTGGTCAGGCCGCAAACGCAACTTTAGTACAGGTCGTTGTGTGAGTAACAGAGTTTTCATGTACTAGTATGGATAACTTGGCGAATACTTCGTAAGTCAATTCTACCCTACAGGTCGTTGTGTGAGTAACAGAGTTTTCATGTACTAGTATGGATAACTTGGCGAATAAGACAATTCTATCCGACATTAGTCTTATTGGTTAAAAGTTCAATACTTCGTATTCATTTTCAATACAAAAACCAAATGTCGTATGTTGGTTTTACATTTAATACAAGTCTCTGACGAGGTGAGGACATGAACTGTGAGGAAGAGCCTCTGCACGCAATACACGTGGCACACGGCGTGGCTCCGGGCCACGTGTATTGCGTGCAGAGGCTGCAACATGGATTCGCACCGGGGAGGGAAAATAGCTCAGTGGTAGAGCATCGGAAATCTCGTCCATCCGAGCGGGTTAACTCAAAGGTCGTGCGTTCGATTCCCAGCTTCCCCGGATTATTTCCGCAAGGATTTATCCGTTCCTCCCTCGGGAATCCAGATAACAAGGGCTGCGTACGAAGACGAGGACCGAACGTCGAAGAAGCTCGGTCGAAGCACGAGGTATCAAACGTTGGGCGAAGGAAAAACCGAAGATTACACACCGCCCCTGGCGCGTCACAATTAGCGAAGCGGTTACACAACACGTGGTTCTAGTATCGGCCTGTCAAGTGGTGCTTTTCCCTCGCCTGTGTTCACGCCTTTTGTCCTCGCCTATTTCTCCCAAACTCTATCGCCGAGTCTATCAACTCTGACAGGCCGAGACAGTGGCCGCTTTATACCTGCATGTTCTGCATATTCTTCATGTCGCAACCCTACCCTAGTGATTGCTCACCCAATCACGGCTCTAGCACAAGGAAAAGAGCGCTGATTCTCACAGGTCAGAGTTTCCCTTTGGCTGAGTTTTAGCCACTAGGAACGAAGCTAGATAGTTTGTAAACGACTAAATGTCACTTTTGGTTTTCCCCTGTCCCGCACTTGGTTTGTCTTGGACACTCTGCGCAAAGTTGCTACACGCCTATCACCTACGCCTACCTCCTGTTTCTTGCTTCGTGACAGGTTATGAGCCCTCCTGCTTCGACCATTACCGCCTACTCCGGCATTCTTCACGACAACGCCTACAAGTTTATGCTGCGTGGCGCACCGCGTTTGAAGAAGCGGCCGTGACCGCGGTTTTCTTCTCCTTCTACACCAACGAGACCTACTGCCCCACGCGCATTGAAACGGACACCTACACTATCAGCGAGGCCAAGCTCCAGGTGGACAAGATCCGCAACGATGCGAAGTACTCTACCGACGGTTATGCTGGAGACACCTTGGAACAGCGCCTGACAACCGTGAAACGCCTCGAACAAGACTTCACGCGCAAGTTCCTGGACGAGTATATCGCGGAGTCCCTCGCCGCCTTACGCGTCCAAGCTAAGGCATTTCTCTTCAACTCCCTCACGCCTATCCTCCAACAAGTCATCGGTTCCCACGCCTCTCCCTTCACTCTCTGGGCCGCTCTTATGGCGCGCCATGAAGCCGGCACCCGCGATCCCATGATCCTGTTTGCGAGTCTCACTCAACTCAAGTACAGTGAGGACATCAGTGCCGAGACCCTTTTCACTACTCTCGACGATCAGATCAATCTCATCGAAACGGCAACCCTCCCTGCGAACGCCGATGCTCTCACGGCTCGCGAAGGTCATGTGAAAACCTTTGAGCTCTTTCGAACTCGTTTTTACTCTAACGCCTTTGCTGCCAACAAAGACATGTGGGACGCCGTCTGCCAGCTCCAATTCAAGGCGCGCGAGGATGGATCTGAATGCACGCCTACTATTCGCCACACCCTCAACATCGCCTCTCGCCGCAATCTCATCCTCTCGGATCAAGGCTCCGGTGACTCCAAATCCCGTCGACGCCAAGTTGCTGCTCCTGCCACATACACTACGCCTCCTACCGCCTTGTATGCAACGCCTCCACTACTCACCCTCCGCCTACTTATACTGCTGCTGCTGCCCCTTCTTACGAGTCACTGCCACGTTGGGCACACTCCAACTGTCACAACCATCCTTTCAATTCCTGTTTCTACTGCGGCTCGCCTTAACATCGCCTTCCTGATTGCCGCACCATGCGCGATGATGACAGTCGAAATCGCATCCGTGCCGGCGTTCCCAAACACGTGGTTGACACACACTGCCGTCGGAAACGTGCATCGTCTCGCAAGATCATTGACGATCATTCGCAGCATCATCGCCGCGACCGTGACGACTACGACGACAACCATGGAAACGATCAGGGTCCCCACAGCAGCTATCCCAAGCGCCATCGTGACGACTCTCGACCGCCTCCCCGAACTTCTACTCGTCGATCGCCTCCATGTTCCTCGCAAAGAGATCGTTCCTCCGGCCGCTCCTCTCGAGCTCATCAACGCCTTTCTACCCCATTATTTACCACCCGCCCAGACTCCAGTCGTGATCGACCCATATCCCCTCCATCCTCCGCCTATCCTCGCCTTTCGTCAGCTACCCGTCGTGCTCGTTCATCGCCTCCTAAACGCCGTGCTTCTCCTTCACGTACATCTGCTGGATGGAACACGTCCCAAACCTTTCATCCTTCTTCCGCCTTTCTACGCCGCTCTATATCGGCTCCGCCTGCGAAACGACAACGCCTTCCCACTCCCGCCTCTTAAACCTCTACTACAAAGGCATCCATCCCGCCTACCTCAGCTCCAAAGTCACGTCCTCCATCTTCCTCTACGCCTAACGCCCACACTCGGGCTACCTCCACAGCACTCATCGTCCAACCACAGTTTCCATCCCAACAAAACTATATACCTCTTCCCCCCGCCTCGTCCACGATGGATGACTCTGTGCTGCCTCCACTCCCCGCCTATCGTATTCATTCTCCGCGTACGCCTCCCAACTCTATCAAACCCACTACACGACCTCCCACGCCTGCCGATTACGTTGACCCGCCTGCACGACAATTACCCGTACGCCTCAACCGTCGTGGTGGCGCCTATAGTGCTCCTCCGCCTCCCGTGCTGCGCGCCCTTATTATTCCTCCGATGAAGAAGACCGCTGGGGTCCAATTCATGACGTCGCCTACGGCCAAATGGCCAACATTACTGCCGACGCCTTTCACCAACTGTCTTATGACAAGTGTGTCGCCTATCATCTTTTCAAACAACAAACCGGTCTCCATCCCAAAGCGCTACCACCGCCTATCCCACTCATCAAAGACAACCTCCAACTCAAAGACTACCAAGCCAACCCTATGCCTCCCACAATGACCACTCACTTTCCCTTCTACGTTGGAATTTCCTGGGACACGGTCTGCCTAAAGGTGTATTTCCCCAACCACACCAATCCCTTTCCCTTGGAACCTTCACTCTATCCCCAGCTCTCCAACGAATGGATCATCGACTCTGGTGCCACCGCCTCCTGCAAGCCTCACCATCGCTATTTCATCGACTCCGCCTTTGTTGACAAATCATTTACTCTTGCTGTGGGCGATGGTGGCAAACTTCCTGTTCTCGGCTACGGACCGATCGATCTCGGTATTACCACCCACTCTGGCGACACCTCGGCCACTCTTACCGCTCATCATGAGCCTCTTTCTCTACCCTTTGCCCTACATTGCCCCGCCTTACAATTCAACCTTCTCTCCGTTCGTCACTGTGTGCAAGCTGGCTGCCACTTTGATTTCTCGCACCCATCGCACTGCCTCATGGACATCGGTCGTGGACTTTATTTGCGTGCTCAAGTTAACGCCTTGGGACTCTACTCCTTTCCGGCGCAGCCTTACACACGCCTAGCCAACAACCCTCCGCCTCACCCTCCTGCTACCGTTGCAGCTGCCATCATGGACTTTCAGGCTAACCTAGCTGCTCATCCTTCCCTTGGTGATACAAATCCATACCATATCAACTTCGCCACGCCTACTCCGTCCTCCATCTCTACGCTTGAATCTACCGTACAAGCCGCGGCGCGCTCCGAATTAATCGATCAATTGCACATCTATATTATTTACTTTGGACGTTCGCCTAAACACTCTATCTTCAAGTCTCCATCAAGCAAGGCTGTACATTTCTCATTACCGACTACCACCACACTCTCTACCCCAACCCCAACGCCTCGTCCCTTATTTCCTGTGTATCCGGCACTTCGAAATTTCCTTCCGCACACGTCTTTTCCCCCACTTCCAACGTTACCACTCCGATCCAGTCCACTCCCATCTCTCCTTCTACCAACAAACCTGTTCTATCTTCGCCTCCCCCTACAACTCCAACACCTCCAACGCCTTCCCTTGCACTGGCTACTGCAACCATCTCAATCACACGCCTATCTAACGACGCTCTCTTCCGTCTTTGGCACAACCGCCTCGGACACCCAAGCTCCACCATTCTCCAAAACCTCGTCAAGATCCACCCCGACTTCTCTACCGATCGCCCACGCCTATTCAAATCTTTCACCTGCGATACTTGCAATTCGCCAAGTCCCGTCGACAACAGTTTTCCTCCGCAGCCGTCTTCCGCGCCTCCTCCTTCTCGTCCACTCCGACATTTGGGGCCCGTGCCCAGTGCCATCCATTGGTGGCAGCTTCTACTTCGTCGTGTTTATCGACGACTACTCACATTTTACCTGGGTCTACCCTCTCGCCTTCCGCAAGGACCTTTATGACGCCTACGAACTCTTCCGCCTCCAAGCTATCACAACCTTCAAGACCGACATCAACACTCTCCAATACCTACCGCCTACTGACATCGGCAATCTACAAGCCGACAATGCCAAGGAATTCGAGAAACTCGGTCGTATCATCGGACCCAAATACTCTACCAAAACCACATTCTCCAACGCCTACTCGCCTGCCCAGAATACCGTGGCCGAACGCCGCATTGGCTTACTCGTTATGAAAATGCGCGCGCTTTTACTGGCCGGCAATCTCCCCAAGTTTCTGTGGGCCGAAGCCGATATCTACTCCGCCTGGCTCTATAACATCTCGCCTTCCACCTCGAACGACGGTCAGTCGCCTTACCATCGAGTTTTCTCCCGGCCCCCACCCCTCGCCTACATCCGCACCTTCGGCTGCACCGCCTTTGTTCATATCCAAAAGGCTCACCAAACGAACAAACTCGACGCACGTGCTATCAAATGCATGTTTGGCTACCCGATGATCGCAAGGGCTACAAACTACTCAACGCCTACTCCCACCAACTTCTTTACACCCGTGATGTTGTTTTCCACGAAGATGAATTCCCACCCATAAACACCATCCAAGCTGCAGCAGCATTTCGCCTACGTGCCCGTGATGCATCCGACATTCCATCCATTACACCTCATAAATCTCTACCGCCTCTCTCTTCTCGCCTCGATCCAACCATTTTTCCTCCGCTCCCTTCACAATCTCCACCGCCTACCACCGACCAATTGTCTCCGCCCCAGGTCTACTCTTTATCTGCCGCCTTTGACG